AGGAAACAAAATCTCTGGAGAGAGTTGGCCTCAGTCTCCTCTAGGGTACCCATGCCAGATCTGTCTGGGACTGTTGTTGAAACAGCTGCATTGCATGGAAAGAAAAAGAGTTAATTTGGAGACTTACTCCCCTTATTTCCCCCTTCAAGATGCCTCCTCAGTCTTGAGTGGTTTCAAGGATGTGAAATGGTGGGGAGAGCATCACATGAGTGTTTGCTGTCTGCTAATGCTGGGGTTTGTTTTTTCTTCTCTCCATGTAGCTGGACTGCTGTGGTCCTGATAATGTAAAAGACATTGCCAATCTCCTGTGGAGGGAAGACCTCTGCCGAAGGAAGGACACTCTGAAAAGCTATTTTGAGGTAGGCACAGCTGCTCTTCAGTCAGCACAGCTGCTGCAAGGAACCTTGGCTGCCAAGCAAATTTGGGAATTAGATAAAGGGTAGAAATTGCATTTATTTGGGGATGGTGTAGAAGGATGTTGAAGGTTCCCATTGGTTCTCCCTTTCCTTTTCCTGCTTAAGGGGACTGGCAGGTGCGGAGGGGTGAGGTCTGGTGGGAAGTTCTGAAGCCAGGACCTAGGAACATGAGTGGGACTGGGGGGAAGCAGACCTGCCTTTCTGGATGCTGAGGGTGGGTGAGGGGAAAGCAGGCTATCTGACTCGTATGCTTCTATGCTTCAGAGCACGAACTGCCACAAAAAAATTGATGAGCTGTTCTCCGGGAAGCTGTACCTGATTGGTATCGCTGCAATCGTGGTTGCTGTGATCATGGTAAGCATGACAGCGTGGTGGGATGGGGAAAAGGCACCTCAGGGCACCCTGGTCCAGTTTCATTTAGGCTGGATCCATCCCTCCCTGCCAGATGCCCCTGCAGCTCAGCATGCAGTACCAGCTCTGTGCACCCCAGCTGCTCTGGGATGCAGTGAGGCCAAGGGCTTTGTCGTCCCTCTGGGGAGTCAGGAGTTAGGGGAGGCATCTGGCAAGTGCAGTAGAGCAGGGGCACCTGCAGACCCATCCAGAATGATAGAACACCATTGAAACCTCCTCACTGCCTCCAAAACCACTGGTTTCACAAGCCACCAAGTTTGTCTCTGCAGTGGGAAGGTATTTGCTTGCTTTGCCACACAGGGTTTGCTGCTTAGTGAGGAGTAGGTGGCATGGGCTGGTAACCTGGCACCTGTGCAAAGGCTGAACTGGAATGCTGGGGGGATATCAAGGCATTTGCTGTGTAGCTGGCAGGAAACTTTTAACATACCACCACTGCTGCTAGTGAGAGAGGAGAGAACATCATCTTATCTCAAATTGGCCAGCTCCTAATGAAAACAGAAGCAAAGATGTAGCACTTATCTCTGGTATGAGAGTGTTTATGTGGAGTGGGGGACTCTGGGATGGAGTGGGCTCCTGCATAGCACGGGTTGGCACCTCACTGGTGTCCCTGTGTCTCTTGACAGATCTTCGAGATGATCCTGAGCATGGTGCTGTGCTGTGGCATAAGGAACAGCTCCGTCTACTGAGCCGTGAGAGCCGGGGAGGGGAAGGGGGGAGCAGGGCGGACGGCGCTAGAGGGGACCCCAAGTGCCACCAAGTGACCAGGAGACATTTCAACAACAGACAAAGAAAACTATGTATATAAACGCTTCCAATATTACCATACAGTACTTATCATTTTTATTTTTAAGTACCTTTTTTTTTAAAAAAAAATAAATAAAACTTTCCCGTATCTTTGTGGCTGAGTTAGTTACACATCAGTTTTGTGTGATGGGGAAAGCTGCTGTAGCAGGAGATCAAGTCCTTCCTCCCCCTTCCCCACCCCTGTAACTCAGAAGTAACATTGGTGGAAGATGTACAGAGGAGAAGGCTACTGCCTGTTACCAAAAAACTTTGCCTTGGTTTTTATTCTCTTTTTCAACACTGACTTTTTTAATAGCTGTAATTGGATGCTGAAGCAGAATTTAGAATTTCTGTTCATTTGTACTCACCTTTTCCTGCTATTACCCCAACTCCCTGGCATTTGTTTCCAAGCTGTCTGTAGGGAAGGCTGGCTGACTGCCCGAAGCCTGGGAGAGAGGAAAGGAGAGGAAACAGCCTCCATCGCCTGGGTGTGATGTATCCTAGGGGAAATACAGGCACGTTGTTCCTCTCTGACCTGTTTGCATTGCTAGGTCAATCCTTAACAGAAGTCATGCTTACATTTTTTCACTCTCTGAAGAGTGGGGGTGGTTTTTTTTGGTTTTGTGGGGTTTTTTTCTTGGGGCTATAACTTTATAAATTGGCTCATTTCCATTGGTTCATTACATAAAGGGTCAGTGGCTGGGAGTGAATTTTAGTCCCAGGTTTTCAAATATAACAAACTGAAAATCTTAGGTTACTTTTTTAACCTCCTTCAGTGTTTTATAGTCATAAATTTTGGGAAGAGTCTAGTTCTATACCAACTTTCCACTATTAAGCTAATGCTCACATAGAAATGATACTGGAAAAAGAAGAAAACATTTTAAAAAAAATTATTGACTTTAGAGATCCTGCTTTTATGTACTGCAGGATGGCGCTTGGGTGTTCCCAACCATATGTGTACATGCTTAAAAGCTCATCTGTGCGTCACTCTCTTGTTCAGTGAAATTTTCCTTAATTATAGCATATTGTTGCACATTGTAATATTGCTGGGAAATTGTCACAACCTGATTTTGAAAAAAGAAAAGTTTATTTTTAAGACCTTCTAATTACACCAATAGCAGGAGATCAGCTTATAAAATCAAGGGAATTCAGGATTTTAGATTGCACCAGTTGAATCACATTCTTGGTAACTTTGGTTATCAATTTGATGTATGTGGCTTCTTTTATATGCCACTCCGTTACCATGTGGGTAGAGGGGGAGAGTGACCCAGGAGCTATGTAATAAAATCAGAGTGTCACTAGAAAGATGATCTATATGTATAGTTCTATAGATATATATTTTTAAGCAAAGTCTTTTCCTTAGCCGTATGGGCACTTGAGCTGGCAACTATATTATCTCTCAGCTCTTTGCCACCTCAAAGAAGGTAAGGGGAGGAGTTCAAATTAGTGATCACTTTCCCCACTTCAGGAATATTTCTGCTTGTTAAAGTATTTCACTCTCCTGCTTTGTCACAACTACAAGCTTCAGATCTGATAGGGAGGGAGACCTGTGATCATCGATCATTTTAAAACCTTGTCCACTGCACGTGGCTACCATGGCTGTTGCCATGGATAGAAGATTCCTGCACTGGGGCAAATTGATCTGTTCAGAAGCTTTTTCTCCCTTCTACTCCCCCCTTTCCCCTTCCTGCCTTTTAGTATATAGGGCCTTTAAAAAGTATATAGGTAAATATATATATCTCTCAAGTTGTGCTGGGTAAGAGGAGGAAGTGCTTCAAGAGATCTTTGCATTGAGGGGTTGGACAAGAAAAGATTCAGCCTTAGAAACAGCCTTAAAGCAACACTGCCCTGAATGTCCATGTTGTGCACATCAAGAATGAGATGAGGTTTTGCAGTAGGTAACCCCTTCCCCTGCTCTCCAGCGTAGCTCCTTCAGGTCATCTACTCTGTTGTGTGGCTATGTGTCTATGTATCATCCAAGCACGTGTGTTTACATCTATGTGCATCGGGATTGTTAGCATACAGAATGGATGTGTAACTTGCCGCCTTTTTTTGTTGACTGTTGATAAATGTGTATAAATATGCCATTAAGCATTTCAATTCTGTTTTCTTCCTTATACCGTATTTTTTGATATTGTTCAGTATTCAGTTGATGCTGTGTATGTAGCTGGAGCTCTGTTTGAAGACAGGCTGGGTCTCAGTGTAGGTCAGGTGTGTCCTTGGACATTGTACCTTTAGGGGTTTGGATTGTCTCAGGCCTGAGCAATTGGGAGAAAGTGGTACTTGGAGGAGGAGTCTGAGAGCGGTGGGAGGAAGAAGAGCAGGAAGTTTGCTCAGATCATGTCCCGCAGAGGCTGCAAGTCACTCTCTGGCTCATTTCAGAGGTGTCTTGTCACTGTGGAGAGTTTCAGAGGCAGCTCCCTGGGCCACCTCCCATTCCTGTGGCTGCTGTGGGAAAGGTACTGCAGGAGGGGAACAGCCAGCAGCTGGGAAGGTCGTGGGAGAGGGAACAGGAGAATGTTTGCAGGGAGAGGGCAATGCTTTCTTTAGAGTTACCATCTGAGTCCCCACATTTGGTGGTATGGTCATCAGCTGTAGCAGGAGGGGTCAGCCCTGGGAGAACAGGAACAGAGAGGAACTGTCATGCAGACAATGAAGTAGCTGAGAAACCCTCACAGAAAAAACTACCCACTTGAGACTCCTCCACTCTGGCTTCCTGCGAAGCTGGACCTGAGTTGACACAAGCTAGAGAGGGAGCTGTGAAAAGCTGAAGGGAACTTGCCCTGTTGCAGGCACTCAGAATCCAAAAGCCACAGGGCTTTACTGCTAGTTGGTCGGTCCCAGAACTGGCAAAGGTGAAGAGGGAAAAACTACTAGGTAGGACCCCTGCTCTGCCTCAACTCCTCTGCAAACCTATGTGTTTGTGTGTGCAGCATGGCACCCCATGCTGCTCCCCTCCACACCCCCCAAAAAACAGGATGAAATTGCAGGCTGTAAAACAAATCCCTCCCTCTTCATGGAAGCATCCCTCCTGGAGCTAGTGACAGCTGAGAAAATGGTTGTGAGCTGAGGCAGGGAGGAGGAGAGAGGCTGGTGAGGAAGAGGGGTGCCAACGGTCCAGGTCTTGAGTTCAAAGACCACATCAGAAGGTCAAACAGAGCTGCTGACAGCTTAACTGAATGCTTGGGATTTTTTCATACTGTGGAGCATGCCACGAAGCAGTGTGTTTAACTTCTTTCTGCCTTTTTTTTTTTAAAGAAATGAAACAAAAATCAATTTAATAAACATTTCTCATAGTGTGCATAGTGTGATGAACTGCTGCAATTTTACAACCAGTTAACCTTAACACCAGGATGCTTTGTGAACCAGGCTTCAACAGCATGGGTTTTTCCAGCCTCTGGGAGGGGGCCTGCAGGCAGGCTGGGGATGCATCCAGAATGGTGCTGAGGGAAGGCAAAAAGGTTGCTTGCCCACAGTCGTGGCTGCTGCAATTGTGCCCCCCCACCCCTACCAAGGGAAGGGGGGCACAGCTGTGGAGGAGCTAATACGGACTGCAAAATAGAATAGCTGTGCTGAAATTCAGGGGGACTGTGGTGGCAGCACTGTGCACACTCACAGGGCTTCTAAAGTGACTGAAAATGGCCCAAAATGCCCTCTGCTGCCATCTGCCCCGGGGGCTGCTCTGATTTTTGCAGCTGGTCTGGTAATGCCACCGTTGCTACCCACGCTTGCCCCTCCGCACCATCGGGGCAAAGCCTGGCTGAGAGTGAGGTGGGAGGCTAAGTGCTGTGATCCCAGAACTGCCTGCCTTCCTCTGCCTTGTCTTG